TCTCCCCCTAGGCAGCCCATTCAACTTCTGGGCCGAACCTACTACCTAGCAACTACTTCTCTGACTCTCAAATAATACTTCATTATGTTGATTAGAAAATCATCGTTCTGTAAATTCAACTCTCTTAAAAACCAGATGTTAGACTAGAAAAGGATGCAACTGGGAATCACAGGCCTTGGTTTGAATCCCTGTCCTACCAGGGACCCCTCTATATGACCTTCAGTTAGTTGCTTGATCTCCTGGATGCTTCATTTTCCCATCTATCAATTGGGCTGTTGACATCACTCTTAACCACTCCTTCCGCGACTAAGCGAGCTGGTGTATATAATTCACGTAGCACCACGCCTGACAAAAGGTGCTGAATCAGTGTGAGTTTCCGCCTTCCCACTGTCCTCTCCAGTGCTAGCCCTCAGCTGTACAAAGAGATCCTGGCAGTTACTGAGTTGGAGGCTTACCTTGCCTTCCCCATGAGTGTTCATGTCCCCAGGGTAAAGAGACCCAGTTTAGGTCCACAAATGTTCCTTGAGTGACTTGTGTACTCTCTGCTTGGCTATGGGAGAGGAGATTTCTCTCGGAGTCAGTGATCCCCTACTTATTACCAAATGGGAAAAGAATCTGTCCCTCCCTCCTGCCAAGAGCTGGGGTTCTGCCGTCAGAACCGTGCATGTTTTAAGTTGAGTGTTCACATGATGGGGTCTGCTTGCATAAATAGAAACATCCTTTTTACTAGTCATCAAGTTTTCTCTTCAAGAGCTATTACACATTTTGCAAATCCAAGGGGACAGGCTCAGTTCGATAAGAGTCTGCCAGCTCCAGTTCTTGACAGCTGGATTGGCGCTGTGGACTCGGTGGTTTCCCCCAAAAACACGCAGAAGGACCAGAAGGCAACAGCTGCTCTGTACCTTGGCAGGACTGGAGGTGGTTCATCTGGTGAATGAGGTTTTTCAATTAAGGGCCTTGCTCAATATGGGATATTAAAGGTTTGGTTTTGGTTTTTGTTATTAACCCAGTACAACACGCTAACAGCTCAAGAGATTTAGGAATATTAAACGCTCCCTCTCAGCCTCAAGATGACAGTTGATAAACATATAACCATAAGATACTGAAGACAACAAAGAACGGGAGGAGAGATTTGAGCCCTGGGAGATTAATAAATAATGAGGAGCGAGTGTAGTCAAGCCACAGATCCCCAGCGGGGCCCATTACTTGGGCTCCTGCATAAAGCCAGAGAGGCAAGCCTAGCTCCTGTAATTCTGTTAACACTAACAACTAGTCCTTAAATGCTCTCAGATGTATACAACAGGGGTATTTATATTCTCTTAGCAAACAGAGTGTTGTTCCAGAATCGTGAACAGTGGTTTAGTTTGGCGAATTGGGTAATCTAATCACTAGCTTTGTCAACTGCCTTTGTACTTACTTGCTAAGGGGGCCTCCTGTTCCCTGCTGAGCTGTGGTTCTCAGTCTGCATCCTCCGGAGCCCTCACATTCCATGGAGGGTCTTTAGGGCGCAGCTGGGTGGGCACAGCTGGGTGAGTGCAGCTGGGTGAACTTCTAGGCCCTCTCCACCTGCTTCAGGGAGAGCAGCTCCACTCTTACCTGCTCTGTACTTTAGAGAACATGGAAGATTCTATTTGGAATGAAAGGGTTTTTTGGGGGGTTTTTTGCTTCAGAACAGAAACTTAAAACTCAGTGGTGCCATGATGTTTGCAACCTTTTGTAAGTTACTTTTCCCCTCACTGGTATGTTTCTGAAATGTAACCATGTAGGTATACCTAGGTAGAGTTCAATCCTCCTATGAATAAACCATAATATTTCATTCCCCTTCTCATGGATATTTAGATGATTTCCCCTTTTTCACCATTTGAAATAATGCCTCAGTGAAGTTTAGGACATTTTTTTTTTATATCAACAGTGAGGGGTGGTGAGCTCCGAGCTAGCCAGGAAGGGAAGAGATAGCAGGAGGGGGCGGATGGATAGTGAGAAGGGGGGAGTGGAGAGAGGACTAGAAATTGCATGGATGTGATGGAGGCAGGACGTGATAGGGCAAGGGGGTCTGTCAGCTGCATGATCCAGAGGTAGCAGAGAATAAGCTATGTTAAGGCCCCAAGTGTGATGAAGGACATAATCTGGCTTGTAGAAAGCAATTAAAAATGAAGGTAAAGGACTGCATTAAATTAAACTGAATTTAATTTTACCGAATCAATGAGATGCTAATCTTGCACATTTTAAACATCATGGTTCCCTTTTCCTCCCCCACCCCAACTCCCTCAATGTTAAACCAGCATATGGTTTTTAGAAGCTTCAAGAACATCAAATATAAATTAGATCAGGGATGGAGTTTCTGAAAAATGAATAATAAATGTTTGCTTATATTAGTATCTCACTAATTACAGAAAAATGTTGAGGTTATGACAATTTTGTGAAATTCAGATCCCCTTAAGCTCTCAGGATCCACTTTCTTGATATCGTGAGCATTTTCGCTCTTGGAAGATTTTGCTTCCTGTCTCCAGAAGCAAAAGGCAACCTACAGAACTTTCAGAACGTGTGATTATTAATTTGAAAATAATTTTGGTAGACATCTATCTTTTACATTGCCTTGAATTATAATACCGAGTGGAAACTACATAGGAAATCTTTTTTTTAATTTGAATTTGGGTTTTAATCAATCTAAAGTACTGTATGTGTTAAAAGTCTTTGTAACAGTATGATTTAAATCTTTTCTTGCATCGCTGGGTGTTCTCCCCAGTGGTGGATTGTGGAGATAGTTAGCCAGGGGAAAACCCCAAGTAAACAGGATTCAGTTTGCATTTGGGGTGGGTCAGGCTTTTCCTCTCTCTTTTTTCCTCTCTGCAAACCCTGACCGTGTGATGCTTTGACTCTATCCCTGTGGCTCCAATTATCTTTACTTTTTGGAGTGTGCATTATTTGAAAAGCATTTCAAGTCAGAGCTTCAGGCCATACTGAGAATAATGACTAATTGGGAGGTCGCCAAAATTACTTGTTCAATTTATATATTTATTTATATCCTATAATAAGAAAAGTAGTTCTAAAACAGAGGATATTGTTAGCATTTATGAATATGAAATTCTGGTTGTTCTAACACAACAATTAAAGTTATGACCAGCAATCTTGATTTGGAGTAGCCCCTATCATAAAAAGCCAAGCTAGTAACTCAGCTGATTTTAAATATGACAAATGAGGTGACAGTCTAGCGTCTACCCTGATTATCAGCTCAGAAATGGGTTCAGCTGATCATCAGGGGACCAAGTCTCTATGTCTTTGCCATCTCACTGTTTGGTCTGGACTAGAAAGTTCTTTTTTTTTTTTTTTTTTTAAGATTTTATTTATTAGAGAGAGAAGGAGCAGTGGGGAGGGACAGAAGGAGGGAGAGAGAGAGAGAGAAGCCGACTCCCCGCAGAGCAGGGAGCCCGATGCGGGGCTCGATCCCAGGACCTGGAGATCATGCCATGAGCCGAAGGCAGACGCTTAACCGACTGAGCCACCCAGGCAGCCCTGGACTAAAAAGTATAATTGTATGGCTTTATCTCCTAGGCCAGATCCCATGGATCAGTCATAGCTCCTGGGGGCTGTGCAGAGTATGCTGGCATTAATTAGTGATGTCTGCCACCAGGGGCCAGGGCAGAATAAAAAGCAAATCTGAAGTCAGAGTATCAAGGTCAGAGTCTTATCTCCATCCTTTATTAGCTGTGAGCTGTCTTGGGCAAGTCACCCATTCTGCAACCTCAGCTTTCTCATCTACAAAACATGGATAACAAAAATTAAGAAAATTGGGACACCTGGGTGGCTCAGTCGGTTGAACATCTGCCTTTGGTTCAGGTCATGATCCCAGGGTCCTGGAATCAAGTCCCGCATCGGGCTCCCTGCTTGGCGGGGACTCTGCTTTTCCCTTTGCCTGCTGCTCCCGCCCCCCCCCCCACCCCCCAGGGCTTGTGTTCCCTCTCTCTCTCTGACAAATAAATAAAATCTTTTTAAAAAAATTAAGAAAATTAAAATCGATACCACAAATGAGAAAGAAATCTTAGTTGCTGTTAGTATGTCTTGCCTATCCCAGTCTGGCGTTTCTCCTTTAGGTTCGTGATATTTCAGTATTTCTGTCATCCTTTTGGCAATTAATTGCGAACTACCTACCATCTCGCATTAGTGCATTGTATGACGTCATGCTCACTTCCCGTGCCTTCCCTACTGCCCACACTTTCTAGACCGGGCCCCTCCTGCTATAGGCGATCAGTAATTGTGTGTTTATTGAATGAATATAAACCTATTACTAACAGCATTTTTTAAACTTTCAATGTCCACAGTCAGATGAATATAGCTTTATTTTCTCATTTATTTTTTATTTTCTACCTTTTTATTTGGAGAGACGTATTTTGCATTTTATTTGAGAGGACTGTTATTTATATTCACAGGATCATAGGTTTTATTTTTTTTTTTTCCTCTTAAAGAATTTTAAATGGGGTTTTATTTTCAAGGAACTGAGCTGTTTTTTGTGCTCAGGCAGCCCCATGGGCCAGTTTGAAGAGGGTGCAGGCCAATGGGCTTGGTGGATTAGGCACTGGGGAGGCTGCGAACACCTTCGGGGGGGTCCCCCTTTCTGGGCTGAGCGCCGGCAGGGGGCTAGATTCGCCCACTTCCTGGTAACCCATCTCCTTCCTTCTTGAAACCTTCCTCCCCGCCTCCCCATGCCCCCTCAGCTGACAGCACACTACCACACTCCTAGGAGCAGAGACTTTTACATGATTTACTTAGCGATGTGCCCTGGTCACAGCTTCACGCCATCTGGACCCAGCCTTTCCCTCTCCACTTCACGATGCCTTTAAGATCCAGGTCTCCTAAGAATCGACTGTGCTTCCACATAAATCATATTGTCTAGCTGGCTAGAAAGTTCCTTGGCTTTCTGCTTATCGCTGCAAGAACAGTTAGTTCTCTATTGCTGCCGCCAAGCAGGTAAACGAACGTGTTTCTTCTTTCCCTGGTGACAGGCGCATCTCATCGTGCTGAGCAGAGGCCCCTCCCAAGAGGAGGCAGCAGTCTCCGCACATTTTGTCGCCCACGCTGCCATCGCTTCTGGGAGGACCGAACACCACGGTGAGCGCAAACCTTCTGTGGGCGGGGCTCACTGCCTGCTCGCTGCCCGTCTGCGCAGGCGTGGCTGGGTCTGTGACCAGCTGCCTTTAGGACAGAACGGCAGGTGACCGGAGCTGGGACATAGGCCCCTTGGAGAGCTTTGGAGGCATTATGTGGCCGTTCGTAGCTGTGCCACTCCCTTAGCTTCGACAGTGTCCTTTGGCGTCTGTCCTGTTCGGCCTTTCTCTAATCTTTTACTTTCAAATCCAGTGAATCTTCCTCCAAACGGAGCTATTAAGAGCCCCAGAGAATCCATGCTGGGCTTACAGGAAAAAATGCTCCGCTTTCAAAGGTGATCTATTTTTAAAGATTGTTGTGGAGCTACTGTGGCAACAGATCTGGCTTGTCAGAACCCCAGCCCACAGACTTTCACAGCACTGGGCTTTCCATCAGGATGAACTTACATGGTTTCAGGAGTCCAAGAGGAAGTTGCCATTTATGACTCATATGGTTTTTCTTAGCCCCATGTAATAGGTAGAGCAGCGAGCTTGGGGAGTTCTTTAACCCACCATTCTGGACTCTGAGCATACAGTATGCCTCTGTTGATGGAGAACACACATTCCAGTGACTTTTTTTGGGGGGGGGGTTCAGAATATTCAGAAACAGAGTATAACTCATGAAGAAGACCTAGGGGTATATTCCAAAATATCAGATAAAAATAATCGTGTACTATAGTAAAATAAGGTCCAATGTGCCAGCAAGCCTAAAATTGAGATCCAGAATAATTGAGGTTCAGGGAGCAGGAGTTGGGCTACAATGTAGAGGCTGGTGGGTAGGCGAAGATGAAGGGGGCACCTCTATGAGCAGCTTGGTCTGCACAGATCCCCAGGCCAGGCAGGGGCTCAAGTCCAGAGAGGAGCTGGTGAAGGGGATTTTGGAGTTTATCCATCTGTCCATCCCACCTTACAGACTCCTCTTTCTGGTCTCCTGGAGCTTTGAGCACCTTTTCAGAGCTGGAGCAACCTATCTAGGGGTAGAGAGAGAAGGCCGGCAAACTTTCAGATCCCCTCTCTCTGGAACACTCCATATATAACAATCAACTTCAAAGCCTTCAAAAAGCTAGCAGTTTTTTGACCAGCTTATTGGGGCTTAAAATTTCTTTAATGGGGGGAAAAGAACCTTCCAGTCCCAGCTATTGAGACAGTTAAGATGCCAATGCAGGTTTGACGGAAATCCCTAGACTAGCAGGAGTCACAAATCTACATGTCTGTAGGAACCAAGTAAGCCGTGTGAGTGACACAGACAGTCATGACAATACGGTAGCAGCAGCAAGACAATACGGAGTGCTGAGGACTGTAGCAAAGTGGAGAAGCCATACCCTATGGAAAGTGAGCAACAGTCTCTCACTCTAGCCCATTACCATCAAGTGGAAGGCAGGCTTCTATGGCAGATCTGCTTTTTCAAGAGAAGGCAGAAATCTAGATTTTTATGTGTAATTGATGCTAACTAGCTCAAATATGTTTCAGACTCTGGGTCAAAACCAGTGTGAGGGCCAGACCTATAACTTCTGACCCGGAGAGTGGGTGTATGATGAATGCTTGTCAGAACCTTCCTGTTTTCCTCAGGGCCTCATGGGTTTCAGACAACCAGAGGGTTCTGAGCATTTAAACTGGTAGGGTAGGGATCGGGGAGCCTTGCGTATTCCCAAGAGAATGCCAAACAGCTAAGGGCGCCTAGGTGGCTCAGGCAGTTAAGCAGCTGCCTTTGGCTCAGGTCATGATCCTGGGGTTCTGGGATTGAGCCCTGCATCGGGCTCCCTGCTCAGCGGGCAGTCTGCTTCTTCCTCGCCCCTCCTTCCACTTGTTCTCTCAGTCTCTCTCTCTTTAAAAAAAAAAAAAAAAGAGAGAGAATACCAAACAGCTATGAAACCAAGGCCCAAAGACCTTCTATGCCTAGAGGGATTCCCATTTGCCAGCATCTCAGCTAGTTAAAAAATGTATGGATTGGGTGAGGACTGATAGAACTTGTGTCCTGAAATGTTTTTCCCTCTAACTGCAAAGTTAGACCACTCTGCTTTGCATGACTCACAGAATCAGACAATCCAAATATATATATACCTATATTTTTATTTATATTTTTTAGTCTAAATATAGTGTGGGTATTATAAATTGAGAATGACAGTGATACCGTAATAAGATCTGTGAGAATTTAATGACCTCACACAGTGATAATGGTAGTAACAGCTAATGCTTACATGGTTCATACAGGCATGGTTCTAACCAGTTATATTTATTAACTCAGTTAATCTTCACAACATCTCCATGAGGTTGGTATAAGTACTTCCAGTTTCTGGTGGAGAAACAGAGGCACGGAGAGATTAGGCAATTTCCCCAGGGGCGCATAGCCAGGGATTAGCAGATTTGAACCTAGGCTCTCGACCTCCTTGTTACATTAAAAGGTCTGCAAACACCACCTTTCCTTCCTTGCCCCACCACCCTCCACCCCCTTAGGCCCGCCGAGGAGTCTGCAGCATTTGGGACAGAGAAAGGACTAGAAAAGCGGAGGCCGCCCGGAGAGATGGGTTGGGAGAGCCAGGGGGCAGGGGCCAGTCCAGGAACACACACGGGCTCTCGGTTCCTCCTCTGTCTTTGGCAGCCTGAACCCCGCAAGCTGCCTTGCCAGTGAGAATTTGAACTACAAGAGGAGTGTAAAGATAGAAGAAAACTTCCCCCCAGGAGCAGGGAGCTGCAGTTGGCTTTACAGACTAGGGAAGGGGGTCACTTCTGCTTGAGGCTTAGTGGATTGGTTGCTAGAAACATAGACAGCAGGAATCATGGTAAGCATAGCTTTACTAGTAACAATTAGTAGCAGGAATCGAGCTGGCCTTGTCTGCAGATGCTGGAACTGTCACACACGTGGTCACTTAATCCTTTTCACAAGCCTGAATTTTACAAGTGAGCCAACACAGCCAGCTCCCCATCCCTGCCCGGTCCATCCATCTATATTCTGTCTACTTATTGCTCTACCCAAAAAGGACATAGTCCCTCTCCGTCTGTAGGGTGCCTCTAGATGAGCCCTTCTCGGGCTCAGCTTCTGCGTATCAGAAGACGGTGGAAATGGCTTGCACCTTGATGCCATTAGGAAGATAGTTTACTGAAGCCTTAAAGGCGAGTGAGTGCTAAGTGAGGTTGGGCAGTGAAACCGTGGGATCAGAACAGCTGCTTGTCGGGCAGCAACATGAATCCTGGGAACAGGTGCAGAGACGAGCCCCAGCCCCCGTCCCTAAGGCCTCAAGCCGTCTAAATGGGCACGTTAGAAACAAACACAAGCAAGGAGAAACCCCAAACTCTTCCTACTGTGTTCACCAGTTTGAAAACTGCATCTGTCAGAATCCTGGTTCCCTTGGTGGCGAACATGGAAAAGGCTGTGGCAAATCAACTGATCATCCGGCATCGTGAGATGCAGAGTTTGTTCTGACTCTTACCCACGATACCTAAGTGTGGTGTGGGCCGAGGGGACCCATGTTACAGGCATGGAGTCAGGGTGCCTTTGGAAGCAGGAATGAGCTGGGCCCTGCCCAGCCAGGAGCTGCAGTGGGAGTGGGCGGGCGCATTCCCACCGTCTTTCAGGGAGCCTGGGTTTTCTAGTCATCTCTCTGTGACCCCCTCACAGGCCAATGCCCCCCACAGTGGGAATGAGGGAAACCCACCCAGGCCTCTGCTGCCTCCAGCAAGGAGAAAGGAAAGGAGGGAATTTGGAACTTATCTTTGTCTGACAACTAAGGGGAGCTAAGGGGAGACCACCCCCGCAACACACACACAGACACACACACACACGCACACAAACACACACACACACACTGGCTGGCTTTCCCCCAGGACGGCAGGACTGTGATCTGGACTTTAGTGACTTTGAGTATAGTAATCCCAGCCAGATCCCCTGGGAGCAAATCTGCATGTTCCACCCAATGCCATGGAAATCCACAGGCATGGGGACCTCAGCTCGGCTTCCCTGTGCTTAAACCTGTCTGTGTAGAGTACAGATTTTTTTTTTTTTTTAAGAATCATTAATGAGAAAAATCTCCCATTTGGGGATTCTCCATAGCCTGCTCGATAAATGCCCATTGAAGGCATTGCCCTCTGACAAACAAAATGCCACTGGCCAAGAAGCTAGCATGTTTCAGGCTCCATGCTCAAGCGAATCCCTTTGCCCTGTGCCTTTCCTGCATTCCTTATGCAGACAAAACTGCCCTAGAAGTCACGAAGGACTGTGATTGCATAAGGACTTCCAATTCAGGCTCCTGGAATGTCACTAACCTGAGCCTGGCCCACTTCCCGGAGCGGCCATAGACAAACTTGGTATTAACAGCTCTCCCAACCCTGCTAAGTGTTCAGGCCACTGGCCTTGCGTTCATAACTCTTCTCCTAAAGGATATTAAAATGAAATGGGCGGAAGCCAAGTACATTTCAGTGTAAACCTTTGAGAGGCAGAGGCTGCCGAGCACACAGGCAGCCTTGTTTGGAAGTGGCTCCATTTACAGCCTGGGCTCTGTAGGGTCCGGACCCAGCAGGATGGAAGGGGCCCTGGCAGAGCTTTGGGGGCCGGGGGTGGGATCCCTGGCTATAGGAGCCAGACTCATGAGCGTGGGTGCATTCCCAAGCTGTAATTCCCCATGCACAAAGATACATATTTCCCTGGCCCCCACTTATCCTAATCTCCCACATTTTGCACAGTAGACGTAAAATATAGAAGTACCTGAAGCTAGGCATTGCCTCTTGAGGGAGTCTCATGTTTTATATACCTCCATGATCCTCCTTTTTCTCAACTCTTCCTCCTGTGGCCTGCCTTCTCAGCCTGCCCCTCTGCTGGGTCCTACCCCACCCCCAGCCCACTCCCCGTCCACTGGGTTATCGATGCTCCTTGGGCCCTGTGTGTCCGACGGAGACACGAAGTCAGACAGGCTCTGGAACACGCACACGCCCAGCTCCAATGGACTCCTGACGGTGGTAACCTGGCCACCC